CAAATGGTAACTCGTACCTTGTAAATCAAATTTCAATTCATTTGTTTGGATTTGCCGACATCAAAGGATAAGCAGAAATATAAAAGAGCATAGGTATTCGTAAATTGAACAGAAAAGCAAAGGCTAAACATGCAATGATTGGATTTGTTCTTTCATTTATTTATCCTTTGACGTGTTCCTTTCGTTCGTTTTCTTTATTTATATACATGGTTTGCAAAAGTATTTTTAAATAAAACTGTTAAATTTGTATATAGATTTAAATTTTAAAAATACCGTTGAAATTATAAGTAAATAAGAAATTATAAGTAGCTGAAAATTATAATGGCACATATATCATATCATAGTTAATATATCATATAGTTAAATTATTTTGAGAAATTCATATTTATAAATTAATATTTAAGAAAAAATTAATCTTTGTATATTTTTATACTCTCTGATTCCAAAGTTGGCTTTAATTTATAATTATTTTATTGAAATAATTTATATCAATTAATTTAAAATGTAAAATTATAACATAATTCCATTTTTTTTTATTGATTGAACTTATGATCTTCACTCTTCTTTTCACATATAAATGAATTATTTTAGAAAGATATATCACTTTGAGAAAAGAAAAGAAAAATTATAAATATACAAAATATTCTAATTTTAAAAATACTTCCAAATAAAATTATTCAAATCCTTCATAAAACACGAAGGATTGAGCTTTGAAAGTCGATATTAAGATTTTCGAAAAAGTATTGTTTTATGTACAACATTATATTTTATACATACAAATTTTCATTAAAATCAAAATTTTCGAATGAAAAAAATTTTCTTGTCGCATATTTCTCCTAAAAACATATTTCTATGAGGTATTGTACATACATGTATTTTGTAATGTGATTAATCAAATAAAAAATTAACAAAATGATTTGTTTTCTAAACACGAACAAGGTCCAAATATACGTCACCAGTTAGATAATTTAAATCGCGTGACGACCATGACTAGACGTTACAGAAATTTCCCATTTTGTTGTTTCTCACGTTCCTAGGTCTTTGTTCCCGTGCTATTTTAGCATTTACCTCCCACGTTTCTTAATAATATATGTGTTTGTCAAATTCGTGTTACAAATAAAACAAAATTCTTCTTTTATTTCTGAACAATTTTTTTCTATACTTTTTACTCGGTAAAAAATTTTATTATAAAAGCTTTACTTTTATAAGTAATATTTACGTGGATATTAATGTATAATTTTATCTACAGAATATTAATTTATTATATTTCTTATTAATATCGTATCTATATGTGTGTATAAAAATGGCAATTTATTTATTAAGTTAATTATATAAACATAAGCAATTGAATTTGCATTAGACGAAGCAAATTAAATTATTCTCTTTCTGTTAAATCATGATCTTGCATAAATTTATAACTTAATAAATAAATTTTAAACTGACGTTTTTTTACATAAATTTCTGTTTGCTTTGGCCTTTACAATCGATTTTGATATCATACAAATATATTTAACTGTATCATTTTTTAAATAAGTATTACAATTAAATTACATAAATGGTGTATCAATAATTACAATAATTAATTATAAATAATGTAACATATCACATATCAATTAATTAAAATATTTAAATGCATAATAATTTCATATATGTATATCTTTTGAAAAATTAATGATTTTTATTAACAAAAAGTTTTTTATTAACAAAAATTAATCTTATTTCTTATATATTTAATAAGAAATTATTGACAAATAAGATCTATTTATAAATTATATTATATATTTTCATTTAATATTATGCTGCTTACAAAAAGAAAAAATTTTTTCTTGAATAATCTTCAGAAAATTTCTTAGAAAAATTAAATTCTTAATAAAAGCATTTTCATATAACTGTTGCATCAGTTCTCATCAAACTATTATAATTTATTTATATCTCTTATTTTTTATTTTTTTATTCATTTAAAGTTACGGTGCTTTTTATGACAGATATTTTTATTATATATAATTAATAATAATATTTATTATTCAATTTTAATTTTCTTCAATTATTTTCCATGTTATACCAAGCTCAAACCATCAAAAAGTCATAAAAAGAAAAAGCATTTCTTTTGAAATGTCATTAAATTGTAATAAATTATATGAATATACAAAATATACATGTATATAGAATAAGAGAAAATATTTATATTGTATTTCAATCAGTATAGCATATATTTAAATAATGTTTTTTAAGGTTTCATTGTAATTATGAAAGAAATTTCAAAAGATTTTCCATCATCAATTTTTCTTTCAATTAAATTTAAGAATATTAGATTTTAAAAATTTGAATTATTTAATGATAATTAAAGCAAACTTTACTAAATCGTAGAAATATTTTTCGTATTTTTATTTTATTTTTAGACATAATTAATTTATTATTACAATACAATACAATATTTATTTATATAAAATATTTTGAAAAAAATCCATTATCAATTGCATATTTTAAAAATGCAAAATCTCATAAATACTGCTCAACAAATTTCTTTGATAACATTTATATTTATTCCAATTATATTATAATATTATATATAAAATTATCTTGTTATATAAAAATTATTTCATTTTGATTTTTAACGAATTAAATTAATATTAAAATTTTGAATTTCATTTTAATACCTAAATATCTAAATCACATAAAAATGTGTACATGGATATGTATACACTTTTAATCGTATGACGACATAGACGTGACAAGCGTGGTTTTCGTAATGTCGAGGATATTTTCGAACGAGTTATTCTGGTAATCAGTCCGCTAATACACGCACCCTTTTTCCAACCGGAAAAATGCCAATGATGTTCGATATATTTATGTGCTACTGTATTAACAAATTTTATTCTTAATCTTCTTTACGTTGTCTAGAGACTGAATGAGAATGTACGATCGACTATTTAATATCGATTATTTTTGGAGATAATTCCATTTTTTTTTCTTTTCTCGTTATTATTTTCTGGCACAGAAATATTTCAAATGTTTTTTTAAATATATTTGTGTTTATTTATGTCATTAGCAAAAATCATTCGAGTGATGATTCTACTACTTTTCATTTATGGAAGGAAAAAAGTTTGTCTACAAGCTTTTATAATAATTTGTTTGAAAAGAAGATAGATTTAAGAGCATCATGGAAAATCACAAATTGTTCATTACAATTTTAGATTCTTAATTGTGCAATAATATATTATTTTTTCAAATTATTAAATAATATATTGAGTATATTTATTTTGTTCTTTTATAATAATTTTTACCTTAGTACTATAAAAAAAAAAGAATGAAATTGGTTTTAAAAAATTTCAATTTCTTTCATAATTATATACTTATTTGATTTTCTATGAAACGATATCGTAGAAAAAACAAAATAAAACAAAATAAACTTTATACTAATTTTCAATACTGGTTTTAACTAAATTGTTTATTATTGTTAATTGTTAGCTTTTGGATTGAAAAATATAAATATAGTATTGAAAAGAAAAAGCTATTTTATTTATCTTTGTGAAAGAAACAGGTTAATCTTTTCTCTCAACGAAAAGTTGTAAGAAAAGTGGAAAGTCAGCACTAAGAATAATACAACATTATTCGATTTGAAAGAGTAAAAGTATCCTGAAAGGAAAGAAAATGATTTGCAAAAGTTGTAAGAGTGCATCGTAAAGGATGTTTTTACTTCTTCCCATAGCAATAATATTGGCCCGAAGCAATAAACATAATTTAAAGATATTCTTGTAGAATTGAAAGCAAGTGTTCTTCTTTTTCATTACAGGAAAAATTGTAAAATCTAAGGAATAATTTTTAATTTTGAAACATTCTTTTCTATTTTCTATTTTTATTATTTATCTCATCTTAATTCTCTGATTATTTTTTTTTCTCTGATAGACAGAAATATTTCAAATATTTATTTACTTTATTATAATTTATAATATTTATGTTTCTTTATTATATTATTTATATTCTTTATCATATATTTTCATACTCAAAATTAAAATTTTTTTTTTTAATTAATTTTGATAATAATATATTTGTTTTCTCTTCTAATTTAATAAAAATTATTTTCTTTTATTTTTTTTTTCTACAGAAAATTGTCAACGTTTTATCTTTATTACAAATTTTTATAAATCTTTATAAAGATATAACATTATGATGATTTGATATCAAAAATTTTACACATAATCTGTTTCTTAAACGTAGAAGATTTTTATAATATTACCTTTTATACAGATCTTTTTAATATTACAATGTACAATAATAATATATTTTTAAAAATTTTTTTTTATCGATGTTTATCATTATTACAAAAATATTAAAACATATAATGATATTAAATCTAAAAGATATACAACAAATGAACTTGAATGAATGTATATACAAATTACGTTTCAAATTTACTTTTGTACAAAATTTTATTTTTCTACTTATTTTCAGAAAAGTTCTTCATTTTATATAGAAAAGTAAATTTGTTTTAGCATCATATGTTTTAATAAAAAAAACCATATTTCTTTCAAAAATTTTAATTTTTATTATTTGATTATTAAAAATTTGAATTATGATTTAATCAGCAAATACGTATATAGAATTAAATTATTTATATTAAAACTTAGATAGATTTATAATGAATTTAATATCAAATATATTAAATTAATTATTATGATAATTAAACATACTATTAAATACTTGTAATATATAAATACATATTAAATAATATATAATAATGTCAATATAATATATTTTAGCATTATAGTATATTTATAGAAATTTATATTTTTATAAATAATTCTCAAGATGCAAAACTTAAATAAAAATTTTATTTACAAAATATTATAACACTATTTTATCCTAGATATTTTATCTTTATATATCATGCTGTATGTACGATTGAATTTCCTATAAATGCGCAATATTCTTAGTGATTAGTCATAATAAATTACGAAAGACTTTGTTTTTGCATTACATATGTTTTTTGTATTTTTCAGGGTGGATTCGCGAAAGTTTTTCTGATGACTGATGTCAATAATGGAAATGAATACGCATGCAAGATTATCAGGAAAAATCGAATGCAAAAAATCCATATGCAAAAGGTTTGTTTTAATTATTAATTAATTAATTAATTATTATTAACATTAACATTATGTAACGTTACATACAATTATTTCTCTTTCTTTAATTCTATAATAATTAAAATTATTATTAACATGTATATAATATTGTGATTTTTATTATTTAAAATATTAAAATATAATTCACATCATGGATATATACAAGATGTTTTATCTGGATCTAACTCTTAAGAAGATAGAATAAAATTTTATATGGCAAAATGAAACGATATTGAGTTTATATGTTTGATCTGAAAGAAAAGAATCGCAAGAATATTTTTTGTAATGGAAATTTTTACATTTATTTTTTTTTAATTAAAATTTTTTATATTATATTCATGTATCAGTGTCGAAAATTCAATAGTTTAAGAAATATTTTAATATTATATGAGCAAAATTTAGCGAATGAAGAACAAAAAACGGAGTATTTATGTTTTTTCATACAATAGTTATCAGGAAAAAGAACTTCCATTATTCGAATATTTTATTATCGGAATTGTACACTATTTTAAATCACAATAAAAACACGAAGAAAACTTTTATTGCTTCTTTTATTGAAACCTTTCTATGAAATTGAAATTAACGAACAGAATATTTTTCAAGATGTAAAAAAATTTATTGCAATATTGTATATAATACCAAAATGCAAAGAATGCAATAAAACATTGATGTCATAAAATGGTTTCAATGTGATAAAAATTATAACAAAGAAAATATTGTTAACAATATTTTAGATTCTAATATTAAAATAATAAATTACGTACAGATTAAAATTGACAGGGAAAATGTATTTCCTCATTTTAAAAAATTCGAGATACTAGAAAAAAGAACTATGATAGTTCGAAACTTAGACGAAATGCAATTTTATTCAGTTTTGTATATTAAAAAAAATCGTGTAATTTATTTTTGTAAAAATATAGAATAATTAAAAAAAATTCATCAAAATATTTTATTATTCGAAAATTTTCTTATGTAAACAGCCTTGGCTTCCTATTAATTCGAATAATGCTTCTTATACAATTATAAGGTTAAAATATTTCTAAAATTGAACTAATCAATTCTTGATACAAGTATTTTGATATTTGTTTTATAAAGAATAAAATTTGTTTTGACTCGTATTTAAAAAAGGACGTAGAAATTTCATTTCTGGATTAAGCTCATATTTCAAACTATAAACTATAACTAAAAATAATTTAATTTTATTCTATGAAATTTTTATTCTATTTTTTATTGCTTAAGAACTGTAATAAATCCATTATATGAAAAATTTTATATATTTTATTGC